ATACATTGAGATTTACTGGTACACTCTCGGTGTATACACCGACGTGTGTTGGAGACGTGGGTGTGAGGGATGGAGAGGTTCGAAGTAGGAAGGTGTTTGGGTGTTGTTCAGGTGTGCGAAGGAGATTTGATGCTGGGAGAGTTCCTTCTGTCTTTCTAGGTCGATACTTTCACTTCCTTTCAGTACTGTGGGAGTACTCTGATTGCAAAGATTTGTATCCTATGTTTTGAGACGAGAGGTCCATGTCGGTAGTGAATATTCCATGACTTCTCTGACATGTCATGTGTTAGACGTACGAGAGGGTTCTGTCAGGTTCCTGGAAGTTTTCCTGACGTTCACCAGCCTCGCGTTTGTTGCCGAAGATGTGAGGTTGACGCTCGGTGTGACGCTCACTTCTACAGTAGGGCTTTTGCTGTCAACAGTTTCGCAGGATCCTCTCCCAGCCTTTATTCCTTTTTCGTTCCTAGTCTGCTTCAGCTTACATTTGGGATTAAACTCTAGCAGCCATTTTGACCAATTTTTGCAACCGAAGTCTTGGTATCTATTCCCATCGGTACCTTTTGTTCTCATAACTCTACGTCATAAGCATGAACACACACACACACACACACACACACACACACACACACACACACACACACACACACACACACACACACACTCGATTCAATTCCCGTTGATGATTTATGTAAATCAAAGCTACTAGTGATCCTTATATTAATCCTTTATGTGGCCTACATCCTACTCTCATCCACACTGATGCCTCCTCTTGCACAATCATTCTTTGTCTTCTGTCCTTTAGGTAGGTACTTTAATAATCCTGAGTGCTTTTCCTGTCACCACCATCTGCTCTTCCAGTTCATATATCATGGTATGATGTATTGATTTATGTGACTGTCATAGAACTCTAGTGGGTTCAGAGGCTAGTTTTCTCTCAGTCTTCCCTCTCTAGTTGCTCTAACACACTTCTTGATTATTTACTTCAGAAATTTGTTTTGGTTAAACTCTTCGTCAAAAGTACAAGGTGATCTTATAAGTTCAAGCATTTTGTAACTCCTACAATATCCTTCCTTTCTTTCTTTCAGAAATTCGGGCGTTATGTTTGTCTGAGAAACTAAACTATAGTTCATTTTCTCTTCTCCATCCACCTGCTTCAACAGTCAGGTATTTACATTTTTTTTTTTAAATACTGACGTCTGTTTAGTGCCTGCATCAAGACGTATTGACGTCTGTTTAGTGACTGCATCAAGACGTACTGACGTCTGTTTAGTGACAGCATCAAGACGTATTGACGTCTGTTTAGTGACTGCATCAAGACGTACTGACGTCTGTTTAGTGACAGCATCAAGACGTATTGACGTCTGTTTAGTGACTGCATCAAGACGTACTGACGTCTGTTTAGTGACTGCATCAAGACGTATTGACGTCTGTTTAGTGACTGCGTCAAGACGTATTGACGTCTGTTTAGTGACTGCATCAAGACGTATTGACGTCTGTTTAGTGACTGCATCAAGACGTATTGACGTCTGTTTAGTGACTGCATCAAGACGTATTGACGTCTGTTTAGTGACTGCGTCAAGACGTATTGACGTCTGTTTAGTGACTGCATCAAGACGTACTGACGTCTGTTTAGTGCCTGCATCAAGACGTACTGACGTCTGTTTAGTGACTGCATCAAGACGTACTGACGTCTGTTTAGTGACTGCATCAAGACGTACTGACGTCTGTTTAGTGACTGCATCAAGACGTATTGACGTCTGTTTAGTGACTGCGTCAAGACGTATTGACGTCTGTTTAGTGACTGCATCAAGACGTACTGACGTCTGTTTAGTGCCTGCATCAAGACGTACTAACGCCTATTTAGTGATTACATCAAGACGTACTGACGTCTGTATAGTGATTGCATCAAGACGTACTGACATTTGTATAGTGTCTGTATCAAGACGTACTGACTTCGTTAGCTAACATAATGGTTGTGTCCCGTCTCTTAGTATCAGTGGTTCAACTTTTCGCACTAATTTGATAGACTGTTAAATGATGTCCATCAGGCAAAATAATACTTAGAGCTCCCGGAATTCATAAATATCCTTACATAATGGTTGAATTTCATATATACGCCAAGTATTACTTAAAACATTTAAGTTAGATTAGTTTTGTATTAATGTTGATAGAATTACCGACAATATGTTAGGTAAAAAGACACATACAACTAATGCGATATTTTATTGTGGCAACGTTTCGCTCTCCAGGAACTTTATCAAGCCGTTACAAACAATACATGGACACAGAGGGTATATATAGATATAATGAGGTGTAAGGCATCTCACTATAATACCGATATATATACCCTGTGTGTCCATGTATTATTTGTAACTGCTGGACAAAGTTCCTGGAGAGCGAAACGTTGCGACAATATAATGTCGCATTAGTTGCATATGTGTCCTTTTACCTAATAGATTAATTTTTGCAGGCCATAAACCCACATCGACTTAACCTAATCAAGCATATCTTAATTGTTGCAGCTTAAACCTTTACAAATTCTTGGGGGACCCAGCTTGTTACTCCTTGGTTGTCACTCTTAGCCCAGTCGTTTAGAAACGTCTACATCCATTGTAGTCTCCTTTTCACCTTTTTTTTCTCATACAGGTGGCGAATAAGTCTCTGCTGGTGAACCGTGTCAGGTGCTGTCTTGCACTCCACGAAGATTAAGGTCACAAATCTCTGACTTGTACTTTATCCCCGTAACACCGTCATACAACTCAGGTAGGTTCTTCAGACAGAATTTCCGTCAGTGAATGTGTCTGTATGCGTTTGCGTTTTCGTATTTTGTGTGTGTGCATGATAGGTAAGAGCCTTTAAATTTATGGTTAGGTTGACAGCAGTGCTGGTGGGGAGGCCTGGGTGGAAAGGCGTGGGTGAGCGAGAGTGGATGAATGACCAGTTGATTCAAGAGTGCTGGAAGGAAAGGGAAAAGGCTAATGGAGGTTTGTTTTGATAGTGACTTTATCGATGAAGAGACACGAATGGAGCCTTAAAATTATGAAGAAATAATTTTCTAATCAGTCGACCAGCTCCAAATGCTGGTGTTAATGGCAGTGTTGTCAGAGCTGGCCGGTTGGTTAATAGACTTTAAAGTGTATCGACTCCACGATAGTCATTTAGGCATTTATATATGTCGAGAGAAATACACCTTTCGGAGTTTGTATCCTGTGTCAAAGCTGCTGATACATCGTTTATGTATTCTGTTTCTCAGCCGCTGATACATATGTATCATGTGTCAGCTGCTGCTCCTATGTCAGAGAAGTTGCTGATACATCATTTATAGATCCAATGTCTCGGCTGCTGCTGATACATATGTATCCTGCATCAGCTGCTGCTGATACATATTCATATGTAAGCACTGAGCCTGTGAGCACCATAGAGCGCCTAAGAATGGGAGAGTAGCTTTGACTCCTTTGATCGAAAGCCCTGATAGCAGAGGATCAGTACCAGAAGCAGCCAAATATTGAGCACCAGAACCACCAGCAGTAACAGAACCACCGGCAGTAGCACAGTAACGTTAGAACCAACATAACCAGCATCATAAGCAGCAGTATGAGGAAAAGCATTGCCTATGCAAGCACCGCTATCACTGGCATTACCGTTATTGGCTACACCTGAAGAACTGTATCCAACAAAAGCAGCAGCTTGTATAGAAAACTCGCTGTTGACACTAAAACTGGCAGCATCTTTAACAGCGCCAATTGCAGCAGTCCGGGACAAACAGCAGCATCAAAAGTACAAGACTATCAGCATCAACACGAGAAGTACCACGAACAGCAGACGCACCATCAGTACAGTTACTTAAAGCAGAACCAGCACAGCACCATCAGCACAGTGTTTTGGGTGGAGGGAGCAGAATGGATGGTTCCGTGTAAGAACAAAGTATCGTAGCTGGAACGATTCACCGAAACCTGCACTTAGAAAAGGAACCTTGTGAAGACGTTTCGGTCCATGCAGGAATATAATCAGGTCATGACCTGACAATGGTCCAGAACAGACCGAAACGTCGTCGTAAGGCTCCTTTTCTAACTTGAGGTTTTTCAATGCGAATTTCAGCTTGTGTCGGCGGCTTGCTGGATTTGAATGTGAATTAGAGAAAAATCTTGAAAGTAATTTTATATCGCATGCTTTATTAATGTGAATACTTTTCCCGAGTGAGATTAAAACTGTCATTCAGAAGTTGGATACAGTTGAGACACTTGTACATATTAAGCGAAAGATAAATATATTTGCCTACGTGGTATTATTAGTATACTTTTTATGTGAAGAGTGCAATTGGAGTACCAACCACTGTACCATCAACATCACACACATTCCTCTGTTCATATTATAATCATGGGGAAGCGCTAAACCCGTAGGATTGTACAGCGCATGTGGGGGGAGGGGGTGGAAGGTATTCAGGCTCAATTCAGGGAACCGGAGCATAGATCCAATTTCCTAGATCAAGAGCTCCTCACCAGCGTCAAGGAACCTCCCTTGAGGGGACCTCCGTTCATAGTCGGTGAGTATTCACCTCTTAAATCTTAGTTTCCGCACAGTAAACTTCAGTCATACAGTTTCGTGGACTAGACTCAAAACTAAGTGAGAAAAAACTGAACTTGACAGAGGACCGGGTGAGACAACTATGACACAAAATACTTTATTTGATATGGTGATTGAAAAAACAGAGTCGAGATTATGGAAAATGAGCGTCGGGGATGTTTTTTTTTTTTAAAGTCTCTTAATCAATATGTGGAAGCACTCCCTACAAGGAGAGGAAGTGTAGCTGTAAGAGCCTTTCACCGGCGTAAAGGTACCTTCCTTGATGCTTTGGTTTATGAATAAGTATGATAGAGCCTCGAGAGTAGTAGAGAACGTAGACTCGCAGACAGTGGAGTTGGGACACGCCACCACCATCTTGCCTTTTAAGAGAAAATTGGTGTTTTAAGGTTGTTCTCGGGAAAATGATAACTCCAGAGTTGTAAAAATATTTTATTAAATACATACAAATCATCTCGCACGTTTTTAGCATTCAATATACATTAAGTTGTTTTGGGAGGCGCTGAGGGACACGACTTGGGCTGTGGCGAGTGTGGTGCACGGGGCACAATGTCTGCTCAACCAAACAAGACCCAAAAGAATGAACACCAAATGAATTATGGGTCATTATAAGTTTCATTGTGAACCATTGTGGGCGGAATCCAGGTGAATTCGACCTGCATGGTCTTCAGTGGGACATATCGCTTATCTAATGTTCCCAGTTTGATTTTTAAAAGCGCTACGTCCCCTTACAGTGAAGCAAAGAAATCGGTGTCTGTTTCTTTACCCCTCACATGCTGAGTTCTTATCAGAAAGAGTATATGATGTACATTAAATCTGTTGGACGTAGTAGCCACACCCAGCAAGATGTTCAGAGCTGGGACGCACCTCCCTGCTGCCTCGCTCAGCACACTAACCCATAGCACTTCTGCAGTCGTTCCTTCTCCCACACATCTATTTCTAAGGGCACCTTATGGGTGCATGGGCATGGGCGCTAGCTGCCCACAAACACATCACACATGCCCACAGAGTGGCGTGGGCGCCTGTTGGCATGGGTTAGCTATGTCCACATACATGCCCATCACCAGCCCACTTTGACTAGAAGCTCCAGTCACCGCTTTCTGCTTGCTGCTCCGAGCGCTATAATAACTAGATAACATATCACAAAGCTTTGTACATTTAACAAAAACTCGTATATAACAAAAACAAGAAGGGAATGGATAAAATATTGCATAATAATTTCTCCTATGAATCATGTTAGTAGGGACGTTGGCAGAGCCATTGGAAGAAACTAGACGATGAACGTAGTGGAGCAAGGTAAGGCTTCCAGCTGACCCAGTGGTCACTAGAACTACCTTTGGCACCAGCTGATACCATAGGCACCAACAGCCGGCACTGTGGGCAGCAGCACCACTTCTTAGCACCAGCTGACAGCGTAGGCAGCAACAGCTCAGTGTGGCGGCGCTTCACCCAGCACTGGTAGTGTCTGAAACAAAAACAAATACTGTGTGACGAATTCAGTCAATAATGATCAATACGAGGACTCGTTATGTTTACAAGCAGCTACCTGGCGCAGTGAAGAGCCAAACATTAAGTTGCTCTTGCATGCTCCAACGCTCACTGTGTAATTCCAACGGTGTGTGTGATTTCTCTCTAAGTTTATCCAGTGCTCTTACAGATAGTTCACTCATGAATGCGAACTATCGATAACTTGTTATTTCTAGAGAGAGGATGGACGGGAGTTACATTTACAGACTGAAACTGTACAAAGTTCTCAACGTCTAGACTTGTACTGGCTAGCTGGCCAGATGATGTTAAGTGTAGTTTAAGAAGACAAGCAAACACTAGGATATATGAGAAAATGTTTCGATCCTGGAACCTTAATCAGAAGTGATCAAGGCCCCAGGGTGGAAACGTTTTCTAATACTTATGTCCCAGTGTTTGCTCAGCTGTTTTCTTAAACCACTTTTTCGGTATCAGTTACCAAGTTTTATATCATATTTAGGTGTTTCTACGCAAAATATCCTACTACCATGTCGGATGGTAAGCCATAAAATCTCGAGTTATACTTCTGGTGGATACCAACCTCTCTAGAATAAAAGAATTAACTGGATGGAGCACTACTTGTAACCTCTGATAGTGTTAAAGCAACTGGCTGGTTTTCAGAGGACTGCCAGACCACGGATTCGAGTTCTCAGCACTGCAGTGAACGCGCACACAATTGCTGTGACTAGAACGATTCAGCAATCCTGCACATAGGGAAAGAACAGAGGATAACGTTTCGGTCGATCCTGGATCATTTTCAAATCGCAACTGAGTGAGACGAAGGGAGGGAAGAAGAATAGCAGCAGCAGTGGTAGTCGTAATGAGAAAATAACAACTGTAGTGGTAATAGTAACACAAGTGGCAGAAGTAATAGTAGAATTAGTGATAGGATTAAAAGCGGTAGTGTAAAAGAACTTAGGAGTACTGGGATAAAAAAAAAACGAGGAAATACAGAAACAAATGAAGAGGAATGAGAGGCGGTGGCAAGTGTTGGAGGTTAAGTGAGATTAGAACACCCTGAACAGAACAGAAACAATTTTATTTTTCGGTCTACTAGACGCACCTCTGGTGCTGCTGAACTCGCTGAGAGCTCTTGCATATGCAAACATGCCCTTCCAGAGCCCAACCCATCTCAAAATTTGTCAAATTCAATGCTGATGCTACCCAGACTACAGCTAAACGATATACTTTATACGATTAAATTAATCAAATGCATAAGGAACGGATGGTCTAATATAACATTTGTGGAGATGGGATGGGTTGTGGATGGTCGGACCTGCTTGGCGTGGGTCAGCTGGCTTCTTCGATGTATACTTATGTTTATATACGTTTAGCAGTGCCTGAAGAGGGTCTCTAGTAAACCGAAAATATTTTCATTAAAGTATTTCTGTAGCGTTGAATGAGAGTTGCTCAAATGTATTACCAATGCGGTCAGTGTGTGCATCACTCGTATACTGTGTAATTATTATATATATATATATATATATATATATATATATATATATATATATATATATATATATATATATATATATATATATATATATATATATATACATATATAGGATCGCAGAGCTTGCGATCTTGGCTAAAATAGCAACGTTCATCTTGCCATATAGGACAAGTGAAAATTTATGTATGCAATAATTTCGCCAAAATCATTTTGAACCTAACGAAAAAAAAATATATTTCACTGTTTGTTTAGTATTAAATTACTATAAACAAATCTAAAATATATTTAGTTGGGTTAGGCTAAAATAAATTGCTCTTGTTATAATAATGTTAGGTAAGTTTTCTAAGATTCTTTTGGTGCAAAATTAAAATTTTTTACATTAACATTAATGAAAAAATATATCTTTAAACGTATAAAAGAAAATTTCAGAAAGGACTTAATTTTAAATGAGTTCTTGCTAATTGACCAGTTTTACATATTCGGTACGACATATATATATATATATATATATTTTATATATATATATATATATATATATATATATATATATATATATATATATATATATATATATATAATGCATAAGATCACAGTAAACAGGTGATTTCAAAATATGCAAAACAACCACTCTGAAAGAATAGAGAAATTCCAAGCGCTTTCGTGACTACTCACATTATCAAGGAACTATGAAAGTAAAGCGCGTCAGGTGTTTAACCGTTGTGGGATCTGATAGTGACGTGCTGGCCAGACACCTTATATAGCTTCCTTGGATGCTTTACTTTCATAGTTCCTTGATAAAGTGAGTAGTCACGAAAGCGCTTGGAATTTCTCTATTCTTTCAGAGTGGTTGTTTTGCATATATATATATATATATATATATATATATATATATATATATATATATATATATATATATATATATATATATATATATATGGATAGGGGGAACGTGGCAATTGTTGCAAATGTATGGAATAGGAGGTAGGTTATTGAAAGCAGTGAAGAGTTTTTACGAGGATAGTGAGGCTCAGGTTAGAGTATGTAGGAGAGAGGGAGATTATTTCCCAGTAAAAGTAGGCCTTAGACAGGGATGTGTGATGTCACTATGGTTATTCAGTATATTTATAGATGGGGGTTGTAAGAGAAGTAAATGCTTGGGTGTTGGTGAGAGGTGTGGGGTTAAAAGATAAAAAAATCAAACACAAAGTGGGAGTTGTCACAGTTGCTCTTTGCTGATGACACTGTGCTTTTGGGAGATTCTGAAGAGAAGTTACAGAGGCTGGTGGATGACTTTGGTAGGGTATGTAAAGGAAGAAAATTAAAAGTGAATATAAGAAAGAGTAAGGTGATGAGGATAACAAAAATTTACATAGTGAAAGATTGGATATCAGATTGGAGGGAGAGAATATGGAGGAGATGAATGTATTCATTATTATAATCAAAAAGAAGCGCTAAGCCAAGGTGAATGTATTCAGATATTTAGGAGTGGACGTGTCAGCAGATGGGTCTATGAAAGATGAGGTGAATCATAGAATTGACGAGGGGAAAAAGGTGAGTGGTGCACTGCTGCAGACAAAGAACTTTGTCCATGGAAGCAAAGAGGGGAATGTATGAGAGTATAGGTGTGAAGCATGGGTGGTGAATGTTGCAACAAGAAAAAGTCTGGAGGCAATGTGTGGTGTGAATATAATGCAGAGAATTGGTAGTTTGGAGGTCCAGGATTGCCAAAACTATTGTCCAGATGGCTGAGGAGGGGTTTTTGAGGTGGTTCAGATATGTAGAGAGGGTGGAACAAAATAGAATGACTTCGAGTGTATGAATCTGTAGATGAGGGAAGACGAGGTAGGGGGTAAAGGAGGTTTTGTGTGCGAGGGGCTTTGACTTCCTGCAAGCATGCGCGAGCCTATTTGATAGGAGCAAATGGAGACAAATGGTTCTTAGGACTTGACGTGCTGTTGGAGATGGGAAGTACAGTGCCTGCAATCTGAAGGAAGGGTGTTAATGTTGCAGTTTTATAACTGTAGTGTAAGCGTGCCTCTGGCAAGACAGTGATAGAGTGAATGATGACGAAAGTTTTTCTTTTTTGGGCCACCCTAACTTGGTGGGAAACGGCCGGTGTTTTATAAATATATAAATATAATATATATATATATATAATATAATATATATATATATAATATTATATATATATATATATATATATATATAATATATATATATTAATATATATATATATATATAATATTACACACACGTCGTGCCGAATAGGTAAAGCCTCCGATTTTGGCTTAAATAGCAACGCACTTCTTGCCAAATAAGGCAAGCGAAAATTTATGTATGCAATAATTTTTGCAAAAATCATTCTGAACCTAACGAGAAAATATATTTTATTGTGTTTATTAAATTATTGTAAACTTGTCTAAAATATGTTAAGTTGGACTAGGCTAAATTAAATTGCCCTTGTTATAATAAGTTTACGAAAGTTTTCTAAGGTTCTTTTCGTACAAAACTAATTTTTACATTAACATAGATGAAAAAAAAAAATTGTGTACGTATAAAAGAAAATTTTAGAAAATATATCAATAACAACCCTGCGACTAGCCAAGGACTCGAACCCATGTTGTTTTGGCCCACTTCATGGTGAGCGAAAACACATGACGCTCTAACCCACAGGACCACGCAATCCTACAAGAGCCTAGCACCCAACCAAGCTAGGTGTGTTACCTTGGTCCGAAGACATACGTTGACGTGGGTGCCTCTGAGCTAATTTCATTCTACTCCCCGTTTGGTGTACTAGCCCAACGAGCAGTATTTTATATTATTGTAACCATGAACGAGTGGTAGTGATCAATAAGAACACTGCGACTAGCCAAGGACTCGAACCCATGTTGTTTTGGCCCGCCTTATCCCATCCAAATAGTGTGATACAAAAAGAAAAACAAAAGTTTCTCTTTTTAACTTTAGTGATGTATAGAGAGGAGAAGGGGTTACTAGCCCCTTGCTCCCGGCATTTTAGTTGCCTCTTACGACACGCATGCCTTACGGAGGAAGAATTCTCTTCCACTTCCCCATGGAGAATATATATATATATATATATATATATATATATATATATATATAATATATATATATATAAATGTCTCTCGGTCCACAACAGATTTCGAACCCGCACACACTACCTCTTGAGTACACAGTACTTAGCCACACACCCCAGATAAGTATGGGCGCCTAGCCGAAGCTGGACGGTGAATCCCATACTCTGGAGCACACTCCTTATTATTCTTGGCTGCACGTCAAATTTTTTGCTCCCGTCTCATGTGGGATACTGTATCAAATGTTTTCTTGCAGCCCAAGAAAATGTAGTCTCTTACGTTGTTATAGAATTCTAACAGGTTGTAAGAGCAAGATATACAATCTCTTAACCCATGCTGGTTACTTTTTATGAAACCACTTCTAAGTGCTCTACCAATCCTGATTATCTTCTCCATTACTATGCAAAGTACACATGTCAGCAAAACGTGTAGTTCAGCGCATCTTGCCTATTTTCTTTTTTAATGCATATGCTTGAATGTGCGTGGATGTAGTGCGGATGACAAGAAACAGATGATTGCTGATGTTATGAATGAAAAGAAGTTGGATGTCCTGGCCCTAAGAGAAACAAAGCTGAAGGGGGTAGGGGAGTTTCGGTGGGGGGAAATAAATGGGATTAAATCTGGAGTATCTGAGAGAGCTAGAGCTAAGGAAGGGGAAAAAGAGAATATGAATGTGTAAATTCAAGAATTATGTGGATCAAACTAAAGGTTGGATGCGAAAAGTGGGTCATAATAAGCGTGTATGCACCTGGAGAAGAGAGGAATGTAGAGGAGAGAGATTTTGGGAGATATTAAGTGAATGTATAGGAGCCTTTGAACTAAGTGAAAGAGTAATTGTGGTAGGGGACCTGAATGCTAAAGTAGGAGAAACTTTTAGAAAGGGTGTGGTAGGTAAGTTTGGGGTGCCAGGTGTAAATGATAATGGGAGCCCTTTGATTGAACTTTGTATAGAAAGGGGTTTAGTTATAGGTAATACATATTTTAAGAAAAAGAGGATAAATAAGTATACAAGATATGATGTAGGGCGAAATGACAGTAGTTTATTGGATTATGTATTGGTAGATAAAAGACTGTTGAGTAGACTTCAGGATGTACATGTTTATAGAGGGGCCACAGATATATCAGATCACTTTTTAGTTGTAGCTACACTGGGATACAAGGAAAATAGAAGCATCAGGGAAGAGAGAGGTGAAGGTTTATAAGCTAAAAGAGGAGGCAGTTAGGGTAAGATATAAACAGCTATTGGAGGATAGATGGGCTAATGAGAGCATAGGCAATGGGGTCGAAGAGGTATGGGGTAGGTTTAAAAATGTAGTGTTAGAGTGTTCAGCAGAAGTTTGTGGTTACAGGAAGTGGGTGCGGGAGGAAAGAGGAGCGATTGGTGGAATGATGTAAAGAGAGTAGTAAGGGAGAAAAAGTTAGCATATGAGAAGTTTTTACAAAGTAGAAGTGATGCAAGGAGGGAAGAGTATATGGAGAAAAAGAGAGAGGTTAAGAGAGTGGTGAAGCAATGTAAAAAGAGAGCAAATGAGAGAGTGGGTGAGATGTTATCAACAAATTTTGTTGAAAATAAGAAAAAGTTTTAGAGTGAGATTAACAAGTTAAGGAAGCCTAGAGAACAAATGGATTTGTCAGTTAAAAATAGGAGAGGAGAGTTAGAGGTATTGGGAAGATGGAGGGAATATTTTGAGGAATTGTTAACTGTTGATGAAGATAGGGAAGCTGTGATTTCGTGTATAGGGCAAGGAGAAATAACATCTTGTAGGAGTGAGGAAGAGCCAGTTGTGAGTGTGGGGGAAGTTCGTGAGGCAGTAGGTAAAATGAAAGGGGGTAAGGGAGCCGGGATTGATGGGATAAAGATAGAAATGTTAAAAGCAGGTGGGGATATAGTTTTGGAGTGGTTGGTGCAATTATTTAATAAATGTATGGAAGAGGGTAAGGTACCTAGGGATTGGCAGAGAGCATGTATAGTTCCTTTGTATAAAGGCAAAGGGGACAATAAAAGTGTGCAAAAATTATAGGGGGATAAGTCTGTTGAGTGTATGGTAGAGTTATTATTGAAAGAATTAAGAGTAAGATAGAGAATAGGATAGCAGATGAACAAGGAGGCTTTAGGAAAGGTAGGGGGTGTGTGGACCAGGTGTTTATAGTGAAAAGTATCTACATAAGGCTAAAGAGGTTTTTGTGGCATTTATGGATTTGGAAAAGGCATATGACAGGGTGGATAGGGGGGCAATGTGGCAGATGTTGCAGGTGTATGGTGTAGGAGGTAGGTTACTGAAAGCAGTGAAGAGTTTTTACGAGGATAGCGAGGCTCAAGTTAGAGTATGTAGGAAAGAGGGAAATTATTTCCCAGTAAAAGTAGGCCTTAGACAAGGATGTGTAATATCACCGTGGTTGTTTAATATATTTATAGATGGGGTTGTAAGAGAAGAAATGCGAGGGTCTTGGCAAGAGGTGTGGAGTTAAAAGATAAAGAATCACACAAAGTGGGAGTTGTCACAGTTGCTCTTTGCTGATGACACTGTGCTCTTGGGAGATTCTGAAGAGAAGTTGCAGAAGTTGGTGGATGAATTTGGTAGGGTATGCAAAAGAAGAAACTTAAAAGTGAATACAGGAAAGAGTAAGGTTATGAGGATAACAAAAAGATTAGGTGATGAAAGATTGGATATCAGATTGGAGGGAGAGAGTATGGAGGAGGTGAATGTATTCAGATATTTGGGAGTGGACGTGTCAGCGGATGGGTCTATGAAAGATGAGGTGAATCATAGAATTGATGAGGGGAAAAGGGTGAGCGGTGCACTTAGGAGTCTGTGGAGACAAAGAACTTTGTCCTTGGAGGCAAAGAGGGGAATGTATGAGAGTATAGTTTTACCAACGCTCTTATATGGGTGTGAAGCATGGGTGATGAATGTTGCAGCGAGGAGAGGGCTGAGGCGGTGGAGATGTCATGTCTGAGGGCAATGTGTGGTGTGAATATAATGCAGAGAATTCGTAGTTTGGAAGTTAGGAGGAGGTGCGGGATTACCATAACTGTTGTCCAGAGGGCTGAGGAAGGGTTGTTGAGGTGGTTCGGACATGTAGAGAGAATGGAGCGAAACAGAATGACTTCAAGAGTGTATCAGTCTGTAGTGGAAGGAGGGAGGGGGTAAAGGAGGTTTTGTGTGCGAGGGGCTTGGACTTCCAGCAGGCATGCGTGAGCGTGTTTGATAGGAGTGAATGGAGACAAATGATTTTTAATACTTGACGTGCTGTTGGAGTGTGAGCAAAGTAATATTTATGAAGGGATTCAGGGAAACCGGCAGGCCGGACTTAAGTCCTGGAGATGGGAAGTACAGTGCCTGCACTCTGAAGGAGGGGTGTTAATGTTGCAGTTTAAAAACTGGAGTGTAAAGCACCCTTCTGGCAAGACAGTGATGGAGTGAATGATGGTGAAAGTTTTTCTTTTTCGGGCCACCCTGCTTTGGTGGGAATCGGCCAGTGTGTTAATAAAAAAAAATGTTAATGTGTGTGCGCGCGTATTTGCTGGTACCTACCACACGCATACTTCCACAGATATGACCACAGACGTTCTCAAAAGAACTCTCTGTAGGAAGTACCAACGGTTGTTCAACCCACTTTTATGAAGTTCCTGACATAGGTCCCACAGTAAAGTATTGCATACATTTTTAAGTCAGTACAAACTGAGAATCCACAATAGTGTATGAGTATAACAGGAAAAATATGAAGCATTTTGCTAACCAATATTACTGAAGTGCTTAGTAAACTCAAGCTCCATTAAGGTGAGTCACTGTATGAAAAAGTGCAAATAATAAAAACAGGAATAAGTGTTAAGGGTTATATTACCTTGGTGTCCTGACAGAGGCCGTGACGGTCGAGTCTGGTATACTCCCGGCCCGAGCGAGGCCGCAGCGTGTTGACGGAGGATCGAGCCAACAGTCTGCGTCAAAGGGAAAACAGTAGGTTTTAGTGAGAAAGAAAACACTTGTAAACACCCTATTAGAGGGGTGAAAGGAATCCAAAGTTTGTTTCCTTAGATAAAACCGGAATATCTCCTATTCCTCATGCACTGTATAACCCTTGCGGGTTTAGCGATCACATAATTAAAATACTATAACGTACAGGTATACACACACTACGTTCATTATACATCGTGTATGTATATGTGTATAATACACACACACACTGATGAAACTAAGTTGTTGGGCATACCTGGAGAGGGTTTCTGGAGTCAACGCTCTCGCAGCCCGGTGTGTGACCAGGCCCTGATCACCCAGGCTGTTATTGCTTGCCGCACGTAAACCGACGTACGAACGCCCGGCTGATCAGGTACTGACTTTAGGTACCTGTTCAGAGCCTTCTTGAAGACAGCCAGGGGTCTATTGGTAATCCCTCTTATGTATGCTGGGAGGCAGCTGAACAGTCTTGAGCCCCTGACACTTATTGTGTTGTCTCTTATCATGCCAATGGCGGTCCTGCTTTTCATTGCGGGGGGGAGGGGGGTGTTGCATCGTGTGCCGAGTCGTTTGCTTTCACAGGGAGTGATTTTCGTTTGCAAATTTAGTACTAATCCCTCTAGGATTTTCCAGGTGTATATAATCATGTATCTCTCCTGCCTGCGTTCCAGGGGATACAAGTTTAAGAAATATACTATTATACGCACTACTCTCACATGTAGTATATCTTGTAAAATATACCCTGATGCAAAGTTCTTCCAACTGAGAGTGTTTGAGGTGGGTAATGAAAAATTATAGGGAATGGAGAGGAAAATAAATGGAAGAAACGGAGAGGAAAGAAACATAAAAGGATGATAATGGAGCCAGACACACGTGACGAAGACTCAGCAGCTGCAGAATTCTACCCAGCCACCTTTCCCAACCCTCCCCTCTCCTCCCCTGAGGAAGAGACGGTAGGGGGGAAACATGAAGGGAATGGGAACGAAAAGAAAAGGTAGAAAGGAGTGGGCGAGGGGAAAAAATGTAAAATACGACTATTGCTGTTACTTACACTCTCGTATTTGCCTTTACACTGAAATGTACTGTGTGTGTGTGTGTGTGTGTGTGTGTGTGTGTGTGTGTGTGTGTGTACTCACCTAATTGTGGTTGCAGGAGTCTAGTCTCAATTCCTGGCCCCGCCTCTCTCTTGGCTGCTACTCGGTTTACTCCTAGCTACTTGAGTCCTATCATACCTATTCGCTCATCATTCTAGCTAAAGAAGTATTCCCTAATATACCTGTGACTCATCTGTATTTTAAACTGCCAGCTGTGCCCTCGTGTACCCGAGATCTCAGATTCCCTATCAATTCCTCTCAATATACTGAATGTCGTCAACATGTCACCTCCGGTCCTTATGTCTTCTAGTGTCGTCAGGTTTAGCTTCTCTAGCCTCTCCTCGTAGTTCATACCCCTTAACTCCTGGATTAGCTTCATTGTAAACCTTTTCAACGTGTATAAGGTCGTGATGTTCCTGAAATCTACCACTCTACGAAGTGGTGAAATGCTCTTGTGATCTGTTCGTGCAGGTTATAAAATTTAATATAAGTGCATGTTTTCACAACCCATTTAGATCAATGTATATTTACTTTTGAACATTTAGTAAGATTTGTAATGACAGTGTCTAGTTCATTACTGTTATTAACATGGAGGCTGCAAATAATGGGCGGGGCATGTCGTTTGTCAATATCTTTGGGTTAGATGAAGATAGAGAGCCTAGGCAATTATAAATTACTTGAACCTCGTTACCTGGAGGTTACCTGGAGGTTATTCCGGGGATCAACGCCCCCGCGGCCCGGTCCATGACCAGGCCTCCCGATGGATCAGGGCCTGATCAACTAGGCTGTTACTGCTGGCCGCACGCAGTCCGACGTACGAGCCACAGCCCGGCTGATCCGGCACCGACTTTAGGTATCTGTCCAGCTCTCTCTTGAAGGCAGCCAGGGGTTTATTGGCAATTCCCCTAATGCTTGATGGGAGGCTGTTGAACAGTTTTGGGCCCCGGACACTTATGGTGTTTTCTCTTAGTGTACCAATGGCGCCCCTACTTTTTATTGGCGGCATTTTGCATCGCCTGCCCAGTCTTTTACTTTCGTAGGGAGTGATTTCTGTGTGCAGATTTGGGACCATTCCTTCCAAGATTTTCCAAGTGTAGATTATGATATATCTCTCCCTCCTGCGTTCCAACGAGTACAAGTCAAGTGCTTCCAAGCGTTCCCAGTAGTTAAGGTGCTTGACAGAACTTATACGTGCAGTAAAGGATCTCTGTACACTCTCTAGATCTGCGATTTCACCTGCTTTGTATGGAGATGTTAATGTACAGCAGTATTCCAGCCTAGAGAGAACAAGTGATTTGAAAAGGATCATCATGGGCTTGGCATCTCTCGTTTTGAAAGTTCTCATTATCCATCCTATCATTTTCTTTGCACGTGCGATCGTGGCACTGTTGTGATCCTTGAAAGTGAGATCCTCAGACATTACTACTCCCAGGTCCCTTACATTATTAAGAACAGCACTCGTGCACTGTTGTATTGATCATGCTGTCATCAGCAGATTTTATAACTACATGTTTAAATGAGGTAAATAGAGCATTAAATAGCATGGGACTGAACTCCTCCCCGTGTTGTACCTAGGTATATTTCTTTAGTCTCGATTCTAAAGACTTCGTAGAGAACAGAAAATGCTCTCAACATGACTCACGAAATAGTAATGACACGATTGCAAACGGTCTGGAGTTTTGAGACTCTCTGACCGCGGGTTCAGTCCCGCCCGTGGTATGGTTAGAAAATGCTCTGTTTGACAGGTAACCTCTTAACTAACGAGATCATTTTTAGTGTTGTCATTCTTCCATTCTTTCTCTCTAAGCTATTTTGTAACGCGATTTTGTACTTTTTTTTTTTCAATTTATCCACATTTTTAAGGTGTTTACCTGGAGTTTACCTGGAGAGAGATCCGGGGGTCAACGCCCCCGCGGCCCGGTCTGTGACCAGCTGCATATTTGGTTACATAATCAGTACTCTTTAGCTAGCCTGTTATCGCTTTACCTCATTTCAATAACACAATACTTATCTACATTACATAACACTCATTTACATTAACTTCCACCAAGAACCGCTACTACTTCCTTCCACCTCCACTACTACTGCCTCCTGCCTATATGTGGCCTTCCTGCTCTCCTTTTCGTTAGTGTGACTTTGTAAATGGTACAAGTCGGACCGAAACGTCGTCGTAAGCTCCTTTCTTCTATGTGCGGGTTATATGCGTATCGTTCCAGTCACGGTATTGCTCCTCTTTTTGTTATTTAATTAGATTCACTTATCCACCCAACATAATACCACCTAGTGACACGTGCTACTTGTGTATTGTTCCTTATTATCAGTCACTATACCAGACTCGCTTCTCCAACTTACCTAGCAACACTTAGTGCTCTATATGTGGCGTTATTTACTGTATTCATTCAAGTTTTCACAAGTACAGTGATTTTTAGTCTTCCATACACAGCCCCCACATAGGACACTAAATTTTGCATTTAAAAAGGCTCATATGAATAATATCTTTGATATATACCTTTGACGAGTTTCGAGAGTTTAGCTATTCTCGGAGCCCGGCCATGAGCCAGGCTCGTCCTGTTCACATTTTTTCTTTCAAACAAGACTAATTAACTGGCTACTTTTCTTTCTGTCTCCTTACCATTTGTTCCTTGATCCATTAATGGGATATTCCCACCTGCTGTTTTTTTCAGTTAATGGAACATTAACTAGTACAGTGTCAAAAGCCGCCTTACAATCCAGAAATGCGTATTCGACTTAATACCTGCTCTGTCATTCTCTTTGTTCTTCAGCTTCTCTTCTCACCTAAGCGCAATCTTTTTTGAGTTTCTGACACTCTTTGCTTCTCTGCATAACTTCCTTCCATTTTCTGCAGTGTGTGTGTTTTCCTGTACGAGATTTACCGTTTTGAAGTCGAGAGAGAATGTCAGTTCTTGGTGTCCCACCTTTATTAACTGAACTTTTGTCACTAATGTTACCCACTAGAGCCGGCTAACATTCAGGTACCTGTTTATTTCTAGGTAAACAAGGGGGAGACTTCACCAATCTTTCTCGCCCTTCCAGGGGATAGAACCTATAAAGTTTCGTTTGTTCACGTAACACTCTGACCACTGAGCTGCAAATCACGTACTAGTATCCATGGTGTCTCATCTACTTGTCGGTATACAATACCGACAAGTAGATGAATAAGACACATGTACAACAGTTGGGTATCTTTGTTATCGAAACCTTTCGCCTGTTCAGCAGGCTTCTTCAGTCTGTTACAGAGGTGACTTAAATATTGGAGATAGTTGCATGCGAGAAGTGAACGTCAGACGAGTCCAACAGCTGTGAAGAAGCAGTAATTTTAAGGTGGTCAGTCCCTCAGCCTTGATAAGTATTCAGTCTTCTTAATTAAACTATCCTTAGTACGGAAACGTTTAAATCAAAGTTTTGAAATCTAATATGATATTTAGACTAAGATAGAAAAGAATGGAAACTTATCACTTGAAACCAGGAATAAAAAACTCCGACAATATCCAGCAGTAAAGGTGATAAGTGGAACGTCAAACACAACTACAGAAGAGAATGTTTATACGCCATGAAGGAGCAGTATTAAAGAATTTTCTTCGTCACATAACCTCTGGGAAAACTCAACTATCTGAGAGAAGATGACCTAGAGAGTAAAGAAAAGACAGGGGCAAAAGTCAGCTTTTACTGTGACAACGTTTCGCTATATGTACAGCTGCAGTTAGAACGATACGTTGTCACAATTAAAAATTGTGGCCTGAGTTAGAGGATGGCCCTGACAGGCTGGGAATACTGGTGGTGCTGCAAGATCTGAGTGGCACTGATCAGTCGTGGTCTGAGGAAGACAAGCTGAGGATGTGTTGCTGCAAGATCTGAGTGGCACTCACCGGTCGTGGTCTGAGGAGGAATGTGAGGAGGACAAGCTGAGGGTGTCGAGGTAGTCACTCATGTCGGAAGCGCCAGAGGAAGTGGACTTGGCGTCACCGCTGCCGCTGCTGCTGCCGCCACCGCCACTACCACTGCCACCAACGCCAAGCTCCTGACACGATGCCGCCACACCTGCAGGACGTAATGTTACAACTTCACACAAATGTAAGCAAACAAGAAATGTACCTATATTATATATTATACATTAGTAATAATATATTGTGTAATAATAAGGACTTTTCTTGATTTCATCACAGGTATTTAGTTCTTTATTACTACACGTTTTCTTAAAGATCAGTGTATGAGGCTGGAGATTTCAGAGATGCTGCAGCCTTATTCTTCCACTACTCAGTTTCCAGTATTATTATTAAGAAAATAAGCTAAATCCATAGGGGTCATACAGTGCCAGAAAAACTGAGATATGAGGTTCAATCCAATGGAGGATATATATGTAGCAGATATTAACCTAGATTCTAAATTCTTGACACTGATGAAGGGATCTTCATTCAAGGAATAGGAGCTAGTTTCCACATATTTAGATAAAACATGATTTCCTCGAACCATAGTCCTGCAAAGTAGCAGCTTTAACATTACCACTGAGCTATGTAGCTTACAACAGGAAGATTTTACAGAAAGCGCTTTTGTGATATTTCTGCGTCACTGGCCACCATCTGTAACCCAACTGTCTCTTCCCACAGCTTCTGGTGCTATGAGACTTAGTGCTCTTGTGATTATATTCATACTTTTGAAGATGGAACAATAATTACATGAAATCACTGAAGTATTCCTACGGTGTTCACTTTCCTTTGTGAGCGATGAAATATTTTCCTGATGTTTTTTTATACTTTACATACATTTAAAACGACATAAAAGGAGAGGAAAAGGGGGAACAAAGAGAGGAAAATAGAGAACAAGGAGAGTGAAAAATGGAATAAAGACGAGGGAAAGGAAATTTAAGAGTTTTAGGTGTGGTGGTAAGAAATAACAAAAAAACGGTGAGAGGTTTGGGGCGGGGGATGGATGGCCACCGCTAATGACATTTCAATCTATATGTAAACCTGCTCTTAAGATAATATGTTTACCCTACACCGAGTCTATCATCCTCCTAACTCAAGAGAGTTCTGCTCAAGATTAGACTCGCAAAACTTTTTTCTAGCAAACTTGTATGCAAAAATCCTCTCTCACACTACCCGAAGCGATTATTTGCAAACCATGTACTGATTAAATTTGCATTTTTAACCACACACAGATTCCGTAAAAAAAAAATGTAGCGTACATCATTAATATTGATGAACATTATCGTGTGAAATCGAGCCAGAGAAGCTTCAGCAAAACTTTGAAACCCTTAAGGTGAAGGATGCCTAAATGCTGGAGCTAATATCCCGTTTTTTGAATCAAATATGATTGTCTCCCATACCTGTATGTTTAGCTCTTAAAACAGTAGAGCTTTGAGATGAGGTTTCTGAGGGAAAATTCAGAGGCATGAATGTTTTCAGTGAATTCAAGGACGTGAATGTTTTGTGTTAAGAATTAGGCTGCTAGTAATATAATGACGCATATTAAAGCACTAGTTACTAGTCATAAGGTAGTATAAACCAGACCAGGATTGGATTTGCCAAGTCACTTAGTGCAAGACGGCCTAAATCCAGAGGTAATACATTTAACGAAGAGAGTCCCACCACCACACTAATCATTCACATGCCACAACAAAGTTGACAAACCCATGATATTGAATCACTGAACACTACATAATGAACCTCGTCTCAGGCAATGAAATATTAAACTAGCCGTAAAGTCACTATAAAGAACCAAACACCATCATCATACATTAATAATGACTATCAAGGACAAAAGCAATGATCAGTACTTCGTCCTGAACCCTTCCAGCAGGTTACCTCCACGCTGAAGGGCTCTTCATTTAAGGAACTGACGCCATTTAAAATTATGAAGGGGGCGGCATTCCCCACTGCGCTGACATCAGTGGTACCGCAGAGTTGTAATAGATATAAAGTTTTGTGGGTATGCCCGACTGAACAGTTTGCACAGCCTGTAAGCAAAAATAACGCTACCCTGGAAATACATCAAACCGACACCACGTATGATCCAGACCCGGTTGGTAAGTGGTTGCAAAATCACAGCACCTTACCTGAATGTGTGTTGGCAGTGTTGTTACTGGAATGATGGACACGTCGAGAACGAGGGAGGGACGCATGCAGACAGTGGGAGGTGAGAAGACGATCCACGGCCCTTGGGGACTCGCACACGCCAGAGTCGCTGCTGGAGGCAGAGTCTCTGTTGGCCGGGGGTTTTCCAGGTACTGAAGACGAGCGCCGCAGGATGCATATTCCCTCTCCTACCAGGTCTCTGGCAGTGACAGTGACTACGTCTGGTCTAGGGGTGACCTCCACGTCTGTACATACACTCTGGTCTGGGGTTACTGTCACCCCGTCTGTCTCAACACTGTCATGTCGCAGGTCACACCCACTATCTGTCGCAGCCTCAGAATTAAGACGGTTCTCTCGTCTACGTAGAGAGGAGGTGATGGTTTGTCGACGGGTTGGCGTGGCAGTGGGCGTGGTCGCTGGCGACGATGGCCACGCCTCTCGAGGCCTGGAATCTGCAGAAGTTGAACGTCGCGGCGCTAGGGACATGTAACGATGGGTAGGCGCTACCGACTGTGATCGTCCGTAGCGACTCTCCGTGATACTCAAAGATCTACTTCGATCCTTGACAGGAGTGGTCTTGGCTTCGTCCTTATCTTGTGTTAGAGATTCACAAGGCACGAGAGCGGCGGCGGGCAACGTAGGCCCCATAGGGAGGTAGTGTGGGTCTGAGGGTAACCGGGGCACCATAGCCAAATAGTGGTTCTCAGTGTCGCTACCAGAGCCACCGGTGGAAGGTATGGTGGCGGGCTCCAGTGTGGACGGCGAGGTAGGTGAGAGACGTGGTGCTACCTGCCCACCTTGAGTCTCTGGTAGCGCCGAGATGGTGGTGATGGTGGCGGCGGCAGTGGTGGTGGTAGTGGTGGTGATGGTGAGGGAGACAGAGGGCTGTCCGCAACTCGTGTGTGTAGAAGACTGGGTATGGACAGCAGCACCAGCCTGTGTGGAATTGGTTGCCGTCTTAATGTCCCGGACGTTCTCATAAAGAGCAAGACTTGCAGCAAACTCCAAGTTCGCGTAGTTGGCATGTGTGCTGGGGATAACTTCGTGGCGGCGAGGTGGGGGTGTGGGAGGAGGTGTGGGCGGCGGAGTGGGTGCCCGAGGCTTCCCTGTTTTTTTCCTCTTGTTTACAACAGCATATATCGCAGTTTCTTGCGACGGCTGATTGCTGTTTGGCGGAGTAGGTGGTGGAGGCGGATGTCTCAAAATGGTGCCGGTGTTGGCGTCTACCACGGGCATCCGTCCGTGTCCGTCTACTCTCAGTTGTTCAGACGGAGCGTCACCGTCCTCCCTGCGACCACACACCAGTGACCCAGCCCACCCCAGCATCTGGCCACAGCCGGGCGCCACAGAGATGATGCCTCCCTCACACCACACACCTGTGGCCGGAGCTACACCCTCGCCGGTGTCTCCTGCCTGACTGGCGGCGTCCGGCGCCAGTGTGGTGCCGGAGTCGCACATGACTAGACGACGTGGAGTGTCGTAGTGGGCGGCAGGCGGCGGCACCCTGGGCGGGGGAGGGATGTCGTAGTTATCCAGCGGGTTAAGTGCCACCCGAGGAGGACTGCTGAAGTGGCTGCCGCTGTCTGGCTGCTGCTGCTGTGAGGCAGCATGGTGGGGCGGGTGCTGGGCGAGGCAGCATGGCTGATGCCCCGAATGCTGCAAGTGACCAAGAGGGCGCGGGTGGTCGTACAAGGATTCTGGCGTAGGCGAGGGAGCAGCCACGCCCTCCCACGACCCCCGCGCCCAAGTGGATGCCCACCAGGTGCCCTCCTCACCCTCGTGGGTACACAGGTGGGGACCGGAACTGCTGACGGTGGAACACCCCACAACTGACTGACTCTGGCAGGAGGCGCGGCGGCTCCAGGGAGGCCAGGCTATGGAGTGAGCATCAGTGTAGTGTGCGTCACTGTGTTCTGGCACTGTGTCACGGGGAGACGTCGCCGTTGCCGTGGCCTCCGACGCCGCCAACGATACAGTCTCACTGCTCAAGTCCATCACGCTGACCTCCCGCAGCCACGACATCTCTGTGCGGCTCTCTGCTCGCGACCCTGAGAGTGATGTAAGACTAGGTCACTGCCACGGTGTTGTAAGATACACTCACAATACTAAACCTTCCACTCACCTGCCCAACATTCATTTAACACCAAGATAAAATAAATTTTAACCCCAATATTTAAAGGGGTGAAGGGGTAAGCCAGCAGAAAGCCTTGGTCTGATGACCAAAAGCTCCAGCTGTGGGTCATCATATGACTAAGACCTGCGTCAGGAAGCGGTTGTCTTGTTTCCTAACAAACCTTACCTAAGCAAGATAAAGTAACTAAAATATAACTGAATATTTAGAGAGGCTCCTGACGGATAAACACCCAGATGACACCCCAAAAAATCATTAACCTGACTGGGAAGATATTAATACGTCAAAAACTCAGCCTCCGAGTCAAATCATTATAAAGTATGTTCAAAAGTGACTGTAGGGAAAATTATACGACGTTCCCAAGGTCTTAGGCCACTTTTTAAGGTCGACATCTAGTCTGTGGGTTAAATGGAAATTGTTCTAGCTACTGTATTGTGACTGTACGAGGCTTAAGAGGGTAGATCAACTCACCTGTGCTGGTGGAGGGTCTGCCCCTGGGTAGGGCTAGCAGGCCGCGGGCAGCCTGGTCGATGGCGTGGGTGACGGCGTGGGGATTGTCAGAGAGAGCCACGTGTACACCCGTCCAGCGCCCACACCTCGTCCCGCCCTCCCACACTACACGCCCGTCCACCACGCCATACCTCCTGCAGGTCACACAGCACAGTTTAGCATAAAACATACGTTAACCCACTAGTGTGTAAGATCTTATCTTACATATTCATGAAACACAAAAGACCAACAATGTACTAAATGTGAATGTGGTAAATTTCTATTTTGAATCATGCACTCATTATAAACACGCTTGTTTACTCTCTCTCTCTGTCACACACACACACACACACACACACACACACACACACACACACACACACACACACATTCTGTTATGGTAATGTAGGTTCTGCCCATGCTCCTTCCTAGCCCAGTCTCTCTCCACTCACCTGAGGTCGTGGGTAGACCAGGCGGCCAGCAGCCGCGGGGGGTTAGCAGTGGTGAGACAGAAACGATGGTCCCTGACGTGTAGCCTGGCTGGACCCGCTGCTACCCGTGACCGAGCAGGAACCTGAAGTACCTGCACCAGGAACTGTTGCTCTAAGGGAGGAAACAGGAGTATGGGCTAATGCTCCGCTCAGGATAACATTAAGACAAAGGTATGGTCAGTGCGAGTTTCCAAGACATTTCAAGACAGTGTTAGTACTTTTAAAAGCATTGTGCTCCTTCATTTGAAGATATTTGAGTATGTCAGTACGGAAACAACATTTGGGACCGCCTTAAAGCATTCGCAATGGGCTGTGACACAGGCAAGAAGGATCTGAATCCACAGCTGGAAAATACACACACAAAAAAATGATAACTAGGAGCGAGAAACGGAAGACTGTGTAGAATAAATACAATGAACAGATGGAGTCAAAACATTCAGTGATATAAGATTCTTCAACTTCCTACCAACGGATACAAAATAAAGTTACTGGAAAAAAACAATTTCCTCCAGGCAACAGTAAGACTTACTGATGACGCAGCTACCAAGCCCCTGGCTATGATGGCATCACATATAGAATAATTAAAGCGATTACTAATGACACTGTTTTGTGAATGCGATAATGTTAATGCAAGAAATTAGATTTTACTGAAAAGCGCCTACTTAATTATGCATCTCATACCCATCTTGCCTCTGGCAAGGCAGTGATAGAGTGAATGATGGTGAAAGTGTTTTTTTCGGGTCACCCTGCCTCGATGGAAGACGGCCAGCGTGTTAGATAGGAGTGAATGGAGACGAATGGTATTTGGGACCTGACGAGCTGTTGGAGTGTGAGCAGGGTAATAAAAAGTGAAGGGATTCAGGGAAACCGGTTATTTTTATATAGCCGGACTTGAATCCTGGAAATGGGAAGTACAATGCCTGCACTTTAAAGGAGGGGTTTGGGATATTGGCAGTTTGGAGGGATATGTTGTGTATCTTCATACGTATATACTTCTAAATTGTTGTATTCTGAGCACCTCTGTAAAAACAGTGATAATGTGTGAGTGAGGTGAAAGTGTTAAATCAGTGGTTCCCAAACTGGGGGTAAATTACCCCCTGGGGGTAATTTAACCATTTTTGGGGGGGTAATGGAGGGGTGACAGAAAAAAAGTTATGAATTCTGAAAATCAAGAAAACAATGCGGTACCCGGTATGAGGATTATTGTTAACTTTGTCTTAGTATATAAAGTTGTAAAGTAAACCTATTATAAGTAAGTAATAAAGTTAAACCAAATAACAATAAACATCAAAAACTAATATACAGTATTAGAAAAGAAGAAATATATAGCTAAGTGTGTGGAAACCCAAAAGTATTTTGACAAGTATGCTTCAGGACAAAAGTCACTCAGTAGCCCAGATCGACCTGTCCAGTACGCGTCACTCACTTCCTGAGGCTGCCTCTATTTCACACTGTCAGTTTATCTGTGAGCATCAGCCGAGGTAGACATAAGCTGGTATGAAGCCAAGAATTCCTAAACTAGCTTCAAGTATGCAACTCCATCCATCCCACTGATGTTCTTGACATCTTTGGTAATAGTCATTAGAGATGCACAATGTTCAAATACAATAAATAAAAGAAAATATCTCAAGTGTTTTAATTTAGCCATATATATCAATAATAGCAACATTTTGTGAAAGGGGTAACATGCTTTATGTGGCATGTTAAATTGGGTAACAAGCTGAAAAAGTTTGGGAACCACTGTGTTAAATGAAGAAAGTATTTTCTTTTTGGGGATTTTCTTTCTTTTTGAGTCACCCTGCCTTGGTGGGAGATGGCCGACTTGTTAAAATAATATATATATATTATATATATATATATATATATATATATATATATATATATATATATATATATTATATATATAATATATATATATATGTCGTGCCGAATAGGTAAAATTGGTCAATTAGGAAGAACTAATTTAGAATTAAGTCCTAAAATTTTCTCTTATACGTTTAAAGATATATTTTTTCATTTACGTTAGTTTAACAATTAATAATTTTGTACCATAATAACCTTAGAAAACTTACCTAATCTTATTATAACAAGCAATTTAATTTAGCCTCATCCAACTAAATATATTTTAGAAAAGTTTACAATAATTTAATAACAACAGGTTCAGAATGATTTTTGCGAAATTATTACATACATAAATTTTAGCTTGCCTTATTCGCCAAGAAAAGCGTTGGTAAAGCCAAAATAGCAAGTTTTACCTATTCGGCACGACATATTATATATATATATATATATATAATATATATATATATATATATAATATATATATATATATATATATATATATATAATATATATATATATATATATATATATATATAATAACACACACTTCGCCGAACAAGCGAATATTTAGAAACATTTAACTGTGGCCTGAGAAGACTCAAACCTACGAGCTTAGAGACGAGGTACGCGAGAAATCCACATTGAACTTGCGACGATGTATTGCTTATCTGAGGAACAAAGAATTCCAGCTGGTTCGTTAGGCAGACTATCTCAGCCCTGAACATGTATTGGTTTTTCCCGATGAAGGCGCTCCTCTCCAGGTGCTTCACTGCTCTCCCTCCTGAAACTCTTATCCAATACTTTCGTCTAGATGCATACCAGTGATACTGACCTTCTGTTCAGCGCCTGAGGAGTGTCCCTCTTCGTAAATAATAGAAATATATTATTTTTTTTTTAGTTGTCTGATAATTTTCCTGTCTTTGCGACTTGATAAAAACCAACATTAATTATGGGTTTAAACAGTAGTTCTAATCCATCCCCAGTGAAGGTAAGTTCTCAGCTCCCATGACTTCATGTGTCCACATTCTTCACTGCATCTTTTGTCTGGTGGATGTCTTATAGTGTAGCTTGAGTTTCCCTGGCTGCCATGTTCCTTGGCATGTCTTGTTCCTTTACGAGCATCTCCTTGAATATTGCATTTACTTCCTAGCACACTTCTCTATTGTCTTGCTTTTCTTAAGTGTTCCTTTTTTCAGTCTTATCACTTGGTACTTTACATCCACTGGAGTTATATTATGTGAAAGAGAGAGTGAGCGAGTGAGTCAATGACAGAGACAGTGAGAGAACAACTTTTCGTTTAGAATCACAGTGTACATCATTCTAAAACACAACATTTAAAGCCATAATCATCTCTGATAAACAAACGCACTTTAATCCCATAAAATCGCGATCACCGCATGAAAATAAAAGACCAAGGTATATTTACCAAGCTTCAACATGGACTCGAGACGACGACCTGGCAGCAGTAGGCACACTATCGTTTGCGTGAGGGTGGGGTCGTCGAGGCCGCGCAGGATGACAAGACTCAACCAAAGTATGACTCTCATGACTTGGTAAGCCGCTAGCGATCCTCAACTCCTTACAAGAATGTTCATCAGCTTGCCCCAAGATGGAGATGGTTAGTGATGGCAGGGTGAGAGAATGAAGGCAGTGACCCACATGTGCCTGTGACCTGGTTAGTGATGGCAGGGTGAGAGAATGAAGGCAGTGACCCACATGTGCCTGTGACCTGGTTAGTGATGGCAGGGTGAGAGAATGAAGGCAGGGACCCACATGTGCCTGTGACCTGGTTAGTGATGGCAGAGTGAGAGACCCACATGTGCCTGTGACCTGGTTAGTGATGGCAGTGACCCACATGTGCCTGTGACCTGGTTAGTGATGACAGGGTGAGAGAATGAAGGCAGTGACACCAAACAAGCCTGTGACATGTCCTGTCCAAGTTTCGAGGCTTCCTTTACCTTAGCAGTGTTGACCGATTCCCTAATCAACCAGGCTATTGTTGCTAGCATTCAAGGAACTGAACTTACCCTTTCATGCCCCTGGCGCTATATGACCCCTGCCGGTTTAATGCCTCCGCATAATACAATGATAATAATAATAGATCATTCTCAAAGCTGGAACAGCACATTAATGTTCACGACTAATGTTTACATGACCAAGCTTTACATCAGCAGTAAGAGGCAATAACATTTATTATGCTTGGCACTTAAAGAGGATTTAACACAGCAACAAATACTCAAGACTAACACACACACAGTACAAAAGAGGCACTTGTAAATGACGCTTAATACTGGCAGGGTGAGATATTAACAGAGAGAGAGCAAGAGAACGAGGATGTGAACACGTATGAGAGAGCATGAGAAAGAGAACACTGAAAATAACTAAATTACGGAGGTACTGGTAATGATCTTGTGTGGCCAGATGAGACTAGAAAAGCAAAAGACTCTCCCCACTCTCCAGCTCTCACAACTCGTAGCACGAAAATGCAGCATTTCCATAACATTTAAAAAATGCACGCATTCTAGTTGGAAAGAAAGGAAGGTAATCAGGTTTGATCCAAGGAATGAGAAGGAAGCTCTAGTTTCTTCGACCGAGGCCCTTTGGTGATACGAAGAAAGACAAACGGAGTAAAGGTGTTGGCAGGCAGTCAGCAATTTCAGCGGTGTGTGGGAGGGAGGGGGGTGTATGAGTGCCTGTGTGTGTGGGGGGGGGGCTGGTGTGTGTGGGTGTATGTGTGCCGGTGTGTATGTGTGCCTGTGTGTATGCATGTGTGTGGGTGGGTGTATGGGTACCGGTGTGTGTGTGTGTGGGGGGGTGTGTGTGTGTGTGTGTGTGGGTGGGTGTATGGGTGCCTCTGTGTGTGTGGGTGGGTGGGTGTGAATATGCATGCAGGTGTGGGTGTTGGCGTTGGTATTTTTATATTTAGTTACTGTGAAGGGCAGGTGCCCTGTTAACAGTATTATGAACCTGATCCTGCTACTGGTTCCTATACAGTAACTTAAAGCATATTCTGATCGGCCTCATATTCTCAACACAGATGTAATTTTCTTACACGACTGTCAGGTTTGTTATTTTACTGTGTAGGTGTCACTTTGCCAATGTTTTTAAAACAGCATGTGCAGTAACTTAGGTATACCTCGTCTGGAATCTTCACAGGCTGTGATGTATCTTATGAAAAACATTATACCCTCTAAGATAAAGCTTCACAAGTGTAAATTTGCCGGTTTATTGACAAACTTGGAACTGCGGATTCCGAGCAGTCAGTGGAGA